CCACAGGAATACGGATCCCACCGTGTGAAACTCTGAAATATGATTTCCTGTCGGGAATTACAGCTTATGATGGATTCCATATCTATATTATGCAAAAATGGATTGTAATTAGCAAACTCGTCACCACATGGTTTTCGATTCATGGTTCGTTTTATTATTAAGATTCTTTTTGATTCATTACTTTTTAGTTAAGCCAACCGGGATCAGGTTCGCTTGCTATTGCTCGCTATAATAACTTCTCGTGCTAAGTAGATGACATGTAAATGCAAAAACACTTCCGTTTAACGATAGAATCTTCGTTAAAATACGTCATTAACTCATCAAACGAAATTGGCTTTCGGTAAAATTGCAGACTGTTTCACCGACAAACTGTCGTTCTGGTAGGTTGTGATACGCATGATCGGAGAACACTCAATACATATAACCGGATGCGATCGATACAGTCTGATTAATCCCTGAGGTGATTGTGGCTGAGCAACATATGCCACATCACTCGTCGGTTCCAGTTATTTTGGCTGTTATCTCAAACTTAAAAAAGCTAATGAAAAATAGTGCGGCTCTAGAGAAAATGGGGCAACACACAATGGAAAACACACGTCAAATGATGAAATTTCCATAGAATTAGGCTTGTACCGATTAAATGCATAGTGAGAAACGACAAACAGTTAAACAAGTAAGGTAACTTATCAATCCTCCAGCGACCGAAACGAGTAGGCACGTACCTTCAATACAATTATATGGTACATGGCAGAGCAGCATATGAGTGCGTTGAAAAACCAAACAATACAAAATCAAACAAACCACATCTCTACAAGATTTACGCTAGTAGAGCTAGACTAAATCGGAATCCAGTACGAAGTTCACCACATAGGATGCCGCACTGCTTGACAATGATGAATAAACAAAGAAAAAATGATCACCGGGTAAATACGTGAGGGTATTGTGTGAGATTATGGATATCGAAGTAAAAGAGAAAGCCAACTGTTCAGATGACGACATTTGTCCCAGGGGCGATCAAACGAATGGGTGAATGGAAGAGCGAACAAAGTTGAGATAAAATAGGTAAAGAATGATAAAATAGAAAAAAACATCTACCGTTCATTGTACTATTAAAATTCCTTTAAATATAACACAGCGGAAAAGATGAAAATATCTATCCTATTTTTCACAATTAAATTTACAGTTACTCGTGAGTAGTGATGTACGATAATCAATATTTAATTGAACTGACTTCAAATTTTCCCGCAGTCCTAGGTAATTTCTGTCTGGTATACACTGGAAAGTACTAAACCCCTCCAACTTCAAGGGAATCTGTTGTATTTTCCAATGACTTCGCCATAACTTCAGGTGAATCCCCCGTAACTTCAGGTGAATCCAAACAATCACATTCTACTGGGAACCACAAAAGATAATTGGTGCTTCGACCGCCACACACCCATTGGACCTGATCTGTCTAAACCTCGTCCAGTCCGAATGAACGAAATTCTCCGTGAACAAACAAAAGTACCATTTGAGTGATGGATCGAAAAATCGGTCACCATGCTCAGACGGGAATGATGAGATGAATCGTTGCCTGGGTGGATTCAATCTAGGCTTTCAAGATCGTAGTGGGTAACGTCCAGTGGGATCGTGATTCACTCAAATAACACCGATTCCTTTCAAGCAAATGCGAATGCCTACATAATTTTGGCGGTTAAGTTCACACTTGACAAAGTAGTTAAGTCTATTTCAAAGATACGGTGGAAGAATTCACAGTATTTCATCGGAGTAATAAGACCAATTTTGAACTTATTCACTGGCTAACAGAAATCACATTTTTCTTAGTCATTTCCGGGCTGACTGTTACATTCGATCAAAAATTCCAGTGGCAACAATCTGTTTCCCGCAACGTCTTCTTTTGTAACTCAGCATCATTGCATTGATTCTTATTCTTATCGCATCGGTGTTCGTATTTGTTTATCTTGCGCAAGCATATATGCTTACATTTCAATTAAAAATATTCACGGTCTGATCAACCCGTCGCATCTGTTCACATCCTGACTGCACTGGTTTCGTCCGGATAGCTTAGTAAACGCGACGAGTTGCGACAAGAATCGGTCACAGCTATTCATGATCCCAAAATGGATTTTTCGTTTGCAATGTGTGATCCATGGGGTATTCAGTTGAAATGGCTGAAGTATTCTGCCCACGGTTGTTTAATATTGGTTCGCGATTTTCTTCTACGTGAGTACTAGTTACCTTCGATGCGCAAATCACGAGGAATCCGGAAAGTGTGTTACAAAACCGCACGTGCGGTGCCACTGAAAATCGGATAAGAAAAATGGGTCCGCACATTTCTGGATGTTCGGTACCACGAAAGCCTCGGTAGACGAGCTATTCACCACAAATTCGGAATTACATTGATTCCACTCAGAACCGATTCGGTTATAGAAAATTGTGAATTTCTTCGCGGCGTCTACAGATGATTGCCACCAAGATGATCAAAGGGTTGCATTAACTCACCTATAAGGATAGATTACGACGATTAGGGCTATAGTTTGCTTAGTACACCGAATTATAGGAGACTTGGTTTAGGCGTATGAAATACTGCAGAACCCGAAAGCATCCATGTTGACCGCTGCTCACGTTGTCAAAGAACATACATCTTAGGGGATATCGTTACAATTCAAAGGTTTCAAAGGATCGACTGGAATGCTGGTGCTAACCTTTTGCGGTCAGAGTGTGTAATGCACGGAATACCTTTCATTCTCAAATCGTTTCTCTAGCAACTATTGATGCATTCAATAGGACACTCGACGAAACCCTGGTACACTCCACATTTCTAAACAACTAAAAATAAACGCAAATTCTTTGAATACTACAATGTCTCATCCCCCAATATAGCATGGGAGAATATTATTGCAAAGTCCATTCGGAAATTCATTTCACGTTTAACTCACAGTTACTTGTGAATAGTGGTGTGGGATAATTGATATTGATTGATTTGAACTGACTATCCTTCGGATTTCATCTTCACGCACAATCCGAAGTTCTTCTAATCAACCATACACTGTGACCATAAACTCTGAACCATACACCTGAACAAACATGAATAGGCAATTTGGTTCAGCCATGGTAGGAGCTGGTTGGCGGTGTGCTAACGCACCGTCCATGCGATGGGTCCGGAGTTCAAATCCCAGACAGGACGGTGTATATGCACTACTGATGTGCTCTAATAGGAGCGAAACTCGGGCCTAGTGATTCCGAATGTATGGTGAAGTCTGAATGATAGTCATTTCTACTAAATAAATCCATTTCAGTCAAGTTACACGATGTGTGGGGCAAGGGGTTACTCAAGCCTGCCATGCTCTGCTCCTGGAATTCAAAATTTTAACACATATGTGGATCAGTTATGACCAAAGATAAACCCCGGGTTACTTCCTGAATGTTCTATGATTGGTTGATTCAAAATTCAGTTCAATACCTAGGACGACCAGTCACGAGTAAAATCTCGAATCTCCCATCACTACTGGCTAGTGGATGTTGGTTGAAAACGCTAATTCCCTATTAGCATATTCTCAAAACTGTCTACATGTAACACCAACGGAATTGCATCGTAAAATTCAAACATGCAAGTCACGTGCAAGCATGTTTTTGATATGCCGACTCTAGAAAAGTAAGGAATGGATAGATAAAAGCTGTTAGTATGTTTTTGGACGAAATTAATCACTGAGAACAGTCTAGTGAACAACTTACTCTTTAATAATAATTGGGGTAAGCTACCACCGCTTACATTTTGTACAGCTAGCATAAACTTACGTACAAAAAATCAAAGAAATGTGATCATAATCATCTTTATTTCGGAGTAATCTGTTTACCTGCACGTTTCATGGAGAAATCACTCTAATCTGCTTCGTC